GATGAAAAAAAGTCGGCGAAAACCGAATCGTATGAAAAATAGGGCATACGAAAACCAAGGTTCCACTGTATTTCACTGTTTTTAATCTTTTTTGAACAACACAGAGGTCTATAGTACAGACGAACTAATGCAGGACTAACACACTGACAAACAATAACTGTGAGTAGAGGAATTCATTGTTGGTTTTAGTCTCTGTATGGGGAGTGTGGAAAATACTGTTAAATAGAAAATGTCAATCTTTTAAAAAGATGTCCATTCAGACACAGGTATCATTCAACATGTGTATAGGGAAAGGTGATACGTGTTATTTATACCTGATTTGCCTGCATGTAAACACACTACTTCACACATGATGATTGTAACAATATTTGAATTCACTTTTTTGTGTGTATGTGGGTGCTTGTTTTGCATTGCAGAGCGAAGTGACAGACAAGCTGCGATTCACCACTTTCTACATCTACTTCAGCATGGTGGTTTGTGAGCTCATCCTCTGCTGCTTCAATGAGAAACCTCCTCTCTTCTCCGATGTTGTCACAGACCCAGTGAGTCATACATTCTGCTGCAGTGTCCGCTCAGTAGTGAAGTGTGTGTGTGTGTGCCTCTTGGCTATATGTGAGAATATCCTGCTGTATATTCCTGCTTACATGTTACAGTGTTGAGCGGGTAAAGGCCTGAGTGTGTTGTCAGGCCACTTGGTGCTTGTTAAAGCAGGTCACACACACTTGTGCCTAAACACAGAGAACATGGTTGTTACTGGCTACTCAAGAGAATTCTGTCCACATTATCCTTGTTTAACCTCTCTGACATACCGGTATTTTTCTGTACATGTTTGAATTTTTCTCAGAATCCCTGCCCTGAAACCTCAGCAGGTTTTCTCTCCAGAATGACATTTTGGTGGTTCACAAGGTGGGTACACCCTGCTCTCTGCCACTGCACCCAACATCTGCAGTCTCACACTTAAGATTTTTAAGAGATTTACTTAAGTCATTATAATGCAAAGTTATTATTTAGCATTATAGTTTTTATCCCTCCTTGCTGACAATAGCTGAGACCAGTGGCATTATGTTTTCGGGTTGTTCATCTATCTGGCTGGCCTATCCTTGTGAAAGCAACATCTTAGGAATGACTTGAGGGGAATTTCTACAGATTTGGCACAAACGTCCACTTGGATTTAAGGATGAACTGATTAGATTTTGGTGGTCAAAGGTCACTGTATCATCACATCTGTCCCATTCTGTGAATTTAGCTGGTTGATGGAGGCATACAATCGCGAGGCTGTAATTGTAGTTAAATATGAAGTAAGAAGGATGACATCACATTTCATAATAATGACTCATGTTTTCGTAAGAAGGATGACACATTTCATAATAATGACTCATGTTTTCATTTTTCTTAAACTATTTCACAATTTATCTTCCTTTTCAAAACATAATTCATTTTATAATGTCCATTTTATCTATGTAATATTGAAAACATGGTGGCTCCATAAAGTATTTGTTAGTATACTGTACTGTATATTACATCACATTCTTCTTTTCTTTTGTTTTGTAAGCCAGTTTCTTCTTCTACTGGAAAATACATCAGGCCAGTTTGCAGTGGAATCTGATCCATGAGTACATGATGATGATTAGCAAATCCAGGAAACTCAATTAAGTGTTTGTGAAAAGCAGTTCTCATTAGGTTGGCTTTGAGATAAAGAATCTTAGAATCAGATTTTGCTCTGAGAATGAAAGACACCACAATGAAAGGCGATAGAAGAAAACATATCATTAAAGATTTGAAACTGAGAACCCGTTCAGGCAGGGTCCCATTTGTTTACAGTAATTCCTAACCTTTAGTGTTGAATTGCCCAGTGTACCTGATTGGATTAAACTGCTAAACTTCTCTGTCTCAGTATGGCCATTAAAGGCTACAAAATGCCCCTGGAGGCCAAAGACCTGTGGTCTCTGAACCAGCGTGACAGATCCAAGGAGATGGTGCCCAGACTCCTCAAAGAGTGGGAGAAGGAGCAGGTCAAGGTCAAGAGGTATGTTGGGAAAAGAGGGTGGGGTGGAGATGAGCAAATGTATACAGGACAAGTAAAATGTTTTCCTATGTGTTTGTTTCACTCCCATAAAACCCTTGTCTCATGTTATGTAAAATAAAAACAGCCACTGTCTTTACATACGAAGACAGCAGGTTACTGGGAGAAATCAGGTGAAAGCAGGAAGCCAGAGTACTGCTGTAACCCTGATACTTTAAAGCCAAGGCTGTATTACTGTCATATGATGCTGCAACTTCAAATGCTTTTTATTTTCTTTTTTTGTTTGGATCCTCTGTACTGATGATGCAGACTCTGTAGTAGATTTCCCAGTGAAGGGTTTCTGCATTTATACACTATAGCCTGCAGTTGCAGAATACACATTTGTACATATCTATTTCAGTTTTATTGTAGTTGGAATTTGGATTTAGCTATGTTGGGTACAGCTACATGTAAGGTAATGATGTTCCCTTTCATTCCTGCACTCTTGCCACAGTGATTCTTTCCTCATCTTAAGTCTAGGTTCCTACTGAATATATTGTTACGTTCTTTAAAAACTGGTCACAGTGTTGTTGTTGTTGTTGTTGTTGTTTTTTAAGGGCTTTTAATTTCCTTAAACATCAATCATTTTATCTTGTATAGTATATCATAGTAAATGAGAACCGGTGCTACCTCTGGCACACCTCACAGCATCCCAACACAAAGTCTAGCATGTCAGAAATTTTTTTGCCGTCTATGACATGTTGGGCCGACGCTGACCAACAGGAGCACAGATTGTTCTTTTGTTCATACGCTTTTGGCATATTGGACTGAACCATATTCATTAAATATCACAGTGGTACAGCTAACATTAGCATACTGACTTTCACAGTCAGCCTTGGGAAGTAGTTAGTCTACTGGGCTAGGTTTTTAGTTTTTGGTTTTACTACATTATTCGGGGTTTACAGTAAATTCCCCCTGGTCTCTGGCAAGTCTTGAACAATGGCAGGCTGTGATCCATCTCTGTACTCTGTCATATCCCTCGTCCAAGAATGTATGACTCTGTAATTGTGTAATCTGAAATAGTGACCATCGTTATCAGACAAAAAAAAACTGTGTAGTCTGAAAAAAGGCATAGGTGTGTGTTCATCACTTTATGCACAAGTGAAGCCATGACCCTGTTGCTAATCCTAGCAGCAGGATAACTCATAATATATGAAACTGGTACTACTGGCGCTACACATTTCATTTAAAGGACAATGGGAAACTAATGAAAATACACAGGCTGCAACTTATAGATAAAACATAAAGAGTATTTCATCCTGGATCTGAAGACATCAGTGAGAACATATGAAACATTGATTTTCTCTCTTTTTGTAGAATTGTTGCTCAGATTTGTTCTATATGATTTGTACTGTATGTTTGTGGAATATTGTTGGTTTTTAACATTAGTGCCTTGACCCTGTCTCCCGCTGCTCTGCATGATGTCCTGCAGAATTAATTACTTTTCTCATGTATATAATATTGCATTCCATAGTTTGCATGTGTTCAGCTACATACTGGAAGAAATGCTTTAGTTGCCTGGCCGCTGAGAATAGCACTTATGTTACACATTGTACCACTTCAGCAAAAAAGGCTATTTCATGCACAGACAGACAGACTCAACTCTGCTGAACTCTGACCTCCATCAGGCAGCTTCCTCTCTCTCACTCTCTCTCTACTGCAGTTTTCCTGTCAGTTTCCTTGTGCTTTCTCACTGAGAACAACCAGTAAAATGATATGGGAAAGCTTGATTAGGCCTTTTCATGATCTGGAAACCTGTTTGGTGTTAAGCTGAATTCCATCGCAGTTGTTATGTTGAGCTATAGTCGCTGCTGGAATCTGACTCCTGCTCTTTAATCTGGTATTAGAATAGATTTTGTATAGTTTGCAAAAACATTCCTCTCACTTGGATCACAGCCTGGATTTCCCGCTTTATGTCTCACCGCTCGAGATTATTAACAAAAGCAGCCACAAGCTAACAGTACAAGGGATAAACTACAGCCTTTTATGTCATCAGGGCTTTTTGCACTGTCTGTGTTACATCTTGCTACTGCAACATAACACCCCCCCCCCCCCCCCCACATAAAATAACAAACTGACTGCTGAGCTGTATTATCAGAATTTGTAGGCACTTGGAAGCAGAAGAAAAATGTAACACAATGTATTGCTAGCATGTTAGCAGGCGGTTGCATATTTACACATCTAGCTGATATGTAGCAACATTAACAGTCATTTGAAGTTGTATTTCTGGCTACCTGATGAATGAGAAGTCCAACATTCACTCTCATTATAGCTCTAATTTGGCCTCCACTGCCTCCTGAGGAAAATATGACTCTTCAGCTGTAAAATGCTCCACTTTGTTTACTAGCTTGTCACTAATTTTATCCATCTCCTATTTAGAGCTAAGCATGTAGTGTACAGAAGGTTTTTCAAGGTTTTAAGCAGAAAAGCAACTGCCTGTTGTGGCCCAAAATAAGAAAGAACTGAACCATTAAAGGTGCTGACGGTAAAGCCAAAACAATGAACTAAAAGATGCCTTAAAGGTAAAGGCCATAAGAAATTGTACAATGGGTGACAATTTTTTGTGGGTTTGTCACAGATTATGTTAGCCTGTACTGAGTCCATTTTTTCCCAACTAGATTTACATTCCTACCTTATCTCTCACCCTGTTCTAGAATAACATTGATATTGATTTTACTCATCCAGACTGTACTTTCTTAACTCATTTACCAACTCAAGTAAATCATCAGCTGAGAAATTACAGCTGCTCCATGTCTCACCTCCCCAAGCCTGGCTTCACCTCATGACTGCCCATAACATACAGAATAATTTAAAGCATTTTTCTATCACGTACAAGGCCTTCCATAGGACCTTTCATTGATGTTACTGTGTTTTGTTTATTTGTTGGTATTGCTGTTGGTAATATTAACAGTTTAAAGTGTAGGACTTCAACTGTTTTTAATTGAAATTTGAGGCATCACTCCTTGTAGATGCTGATCTACACACAGCTGATGTGCTTAGAAAGATGCTATATAAATATATGTTATTTGCTTACGATGTTGCCTGTTCTCAATTTCACAATTTCTAACTCCTTTGTCCACAGTGAACAGAGTCCATCCAGCCAGGCTGTGTACTCCAAGCCCCTACCAACTACCAACCACGTTGCAGGAGGAGGGGGTGAAGGTGAAAACAACCCAGAGGAAGTGGAGGTTCTGCTGTCCAGTCAGAAGGCCACTTCCCAGCAGCCTTCTTTCCTGCGTGCCCTCATTAAAGCTTTTGGACCCTACTTTCTGATTGGCTCAGCCTACAAGCTGCTGCAGGATATTATCACCTTTGTCAACCCCCAGCTGCTTAGGTAAAAAGAAAGGTCATATGTTACTACTGTGTGCTTTGTTTGTTACAGTATATTTGCACCAACCCCTAGAAACCTGACATTGTTCCATTATTATCTGATCCTGTTTGTAGGACATCTTTTTGCATTTTGTGTTTGCATTTTTGCTTGCTGATTTGTTTTATGCAAAGTATGGTAGCTGTCATTATTTACAATCCTCAGGTGTATTACTGTCATGTGGTTTACTAAGGGTAATTAAAAATGATATATGCATTTTCAGTGGTGCCACAGAACAAACTGTCAGTTTGAGCATATGTGTTTTCTGTTCTTTCTTATTTTAATGCTCTCTTTCACAAAACATATTGTGATATATGATATTATACTGTACTCTTGTAATATCAGCTGACTAGTAATGCAGACCAAACTTTTTCCTTTATCTAGAATAATATTGAGAAGCCTCTTAAGAATGTAGTACTACTTCTACTCTATTAAAAAAACTAGACCGCATTCAGAGCACCAGAAATCAGTTTTCCAATAATGCAGTAAAAGCCACATTCCTGTGATAGTTCGATCCTCATATATGATAGCTTGACCATGAAAACCTACTGCTGACATTTGGAATGATGCTGATATCTTTATTAGTTTGAAAGTTATTCAGTTCAGTTTTAATTGTAGGCTATAGCTCTAATTTGAAACAACGGGGGAACAGTAAGGTCTAGACTTTTCAGGAAAAACATCATAGTTAACAGATGTTTGATAAACTGCTCATACTGTCTCTGTTACTGGAGGAGCGTACCCACTCGAGACCAACACAGAGAAAATAGGAAGGCTATGAAAGATGCTACAAAGGTGTCATCTGGACTACTTTTTGTGTAACGCCATACTGCAGTGTTATGCAGGTTAATTCCAGGCTTGTAGACTGTCTGCAGCTGAACAAGGTGTAAGTAGTTGGGACATAATTTAGTATAAGCATGGAAGAACTTCATGTCAAAGGTTTAGTGACTGGTTGCTTTTTAGGTAAGTGTTAGGTAAAGACATTCCATCAAGTCCAACTTGTAAATAGTGATTGTTCTAATTCATGCTAAAGTTTTACAGGAATAAAAGATATGTTTATCTACAGACCGTGATTTTTCTACTCGCTTGTATAGGTTGCTGATCACTTTTACAAAACAGACGGGAGTGCCTTACTGGTGGGGTTACACGCTGGCCTTCCTTATGTTCTTCACAGCCTTCCTGCAGACTCTTATCCTCCACCATCAATTTCAGTACTGTTTTGTCACCGGCATGAATATACGCACAGCTGTCATAGGAGCTATCTACAGGAAGGTAAGAAGTTTTCACATCTTTGTTCTTCTGTTTGACCACAAACACACACACACACACACACACAAATACACTAAGTCTAACTGAGGCCTTAAGTGAGCAAAATTCAGTTTCTACAGTACATTTCAGCTTAGAGGAGACACAGTATGCATCACAGAAAATACATTTATTACAGTGCTGAGTACAGTTGTATATTTTTGTTGTTCTGCAGGCGCTGGTGATAACAAATGCTGCCAAGCGTTCATCTACGGTGGGAGAGGTAGTCAACCTGATGTCTGTGGATGCACAGCGGTTCATGGACCTAACCACCTTCCTCAACATGCTGTGGTCTGCTCCTCTTCAGATTATACTGGCGCTATATTTCCTCTGGCAGGTACTCACACAGATTGTACATGGATTACGGGGCTATGACTAAACTGTAGGTAGTCAATGACTGGGAATTTCTCTCCATAGTTTGTTTACACGTACACGTTTTTATTGAGTATGGTGGGATTTTGCTTTATGTCTGAGTTTATTTTAAATTATAACAGCACTGAATAACTCACTGCGCTGCATTTTACAGAATCTTGGCCCGTCTGTGCTGGCTGGGGTGGCTGTCATGATCATGCTGATCCCTTTTAATGCTGTCATTGCCATGAAGACCCGAGCCTACCAGGTATAACCAGTCAAACTAAGACTTGGCAGTAATTTCATGTCTCTTGACTTTCAGCAGACCTGCATCAATAATTTTACATGGTTTTACATAGTTTATGGTGTTTGCATTTAGCCCTTTGTCTGTTTTTTTAATCTGTAATTGGTGTTTGGCTACTTTCTAGTTTGTTCATTCAGATAAAGAACAGTTTTTCTTCCTGTGCCCATCTTCCTTTTTGTCTCTCCTAGATGGAGCAGATGCAGTACAAGGATGCTCGTATCAAGCTCATGAATGAGATCCTGAATGGTATCAAAGTCCTAAAGCTGTATGCCTGGGAGAACTCCTTCAAAGAAAAGGTCCTGGCCATTCGGCAGAAGGAGCTCAACGTGCTCCGCAAGACAGCCTACCTGGGAGCGCTGTCCACCATGGCCTGGACCAGCGCCCCTTTCCTGGTAGGCTCAGTCCACAAGTGTGGAATTAAACATACTGTAGTGAATGTGATTAACTGTGGCCATTTTTGTTTTTTATCATTGTTTAAAGCTGAATGTACGACACAGCAAATCTAAACGAACTGCATGAATTTCTACAAAAATGTCTTCATGCCTGGCACTTTATGTACATGACAACATTTTTCAACACTGTTGTTTGCCAGTAAGGGTTGTTCTCAGGGTTACCTCTGTGAGGTCTTCATAAGTCATGTGTGACAGCTGTACTGTAAATACTGTTTCCATATTGGTTCAGGTTGTGGTCACAAATTACAAGAAACCTTTATTTGAACCTAACTTAGATAATGGGTGATGAATAACTCCTTTATGTAGAAACTGTAGAATGTGAGTGTTCAAGTCATAGAGTGACAGATGGCCATTGTCATTTGATACATAATGAAAATAATCAGTTGTAGTCAGAGGTCATGCTAGACTTTCCCATCCATCATTTGATAGAGAGGGTCATAAAAATTCTGTCATTATTTATTATTACCTGTCAATTTATTTACATTTTTATGATATTTTGATATTTTATGATATGATATAATTATGATAATTATAATCAATAATTTTGATTTTGATCCACCGGTCTTCTTCTAGGCTAGTGAAAAACGGAAACAATTGTCACTGCTGTAGGCTACATGCCTATATTATTTATCTACATCAGGTATTCTAGGTCACATGACAGCATATACCTAAAGTCTTATTTGTCAGACAAATGCACATTTTACCATCCAAAAGCCAGTAGTTAGCAGCTGTTAATAATGAGGTCAGCGCTGAGTCACTACTTGACTCAGGTTAATGTGTATGTGGGTGTGTGTAGCATCACAGCACTGACTGCTACAGATCTTTACACTAAATCAACACACGCTGATGTCTGAGCTGCCTCTTTGTCACTGTGTTACCAGGTCGCCTTGACAACGTTTGCTGTGTATGTGACTGTGGATGAGAACAACATCCTGGATGCAGAGAAGGCCTTTGTGTCGCTCTCACTCTTTAACATCCTCAGGTTTCCTCTCAACATGCTTCCCCAAGTCATCAGCAGCATTGTGCAGGTGGGCTCTTCTTCTTTTCCTCTCTGTTCTCTTCTCCTCCGCATGTTCGTGTATGAGGTTCCATTGAGAACCTTGTGTGTTTATTCTGCGTCTCAGGCCAGCGTCTCACTGAAGCGAGTCCAAGGGTTCCTGAGTCATGATGAGATAGACCCAAATTCAGTAGACCGAAAGAACACAGCTGCAGGTAAAATTAAACTCTGCTCCTCCATTGATTAAGGTCAGAACAGCATTTCTTTTTCCTGTTCTACCCAGCTTCAGTCAGTTTTTTACACTTCTGGTGTCATTCCACATGCTTTGAACAGGCTTTAAAATTTGCTTTGTCATTACATGTCAGCATTCCCTTGTGTTAACTCAAGCTCCACAGTCACTGCTTCTTACTTGCACCTTTTACCCAGTGCTTCAGAGCCTGACAAGTTTTTGGATGACTCATGATTAAGAAATGCCTTCCAAGTCTTTTGTTTTGTCAGACTACATCCACTCTGTCACCAGTTTAAAACATGCTAAAAAGAAACTGACATGATGTTTTGTTGTTCAATAGAGTTTTCAGTGATAGTTGTCAACGGAAAGTTCACCTGGGCTAAAGGAGAACCTCCTGTTTTGCACAAGTATGTCATGAAAAGCCATACACTACATGTCTGTATTTGTTGCGTGTGTGCATCCTCATACCTGAAGCTGTACTTAAGATGTGTTTGTTTTGTAGTATTAATATGATGGTGCCCCAGGGCTCGCTACTTGCAGTGGTGGGCCAGGTTGGCTGCGGGAAGTCCTCCCTGATCTCTGCGCTGCTCGGTGAAATGGAGAAACTGGAAGGAGACGTTTCAGTTCGAGTAGGACTCCACTTCATATTCTATAGCAAGTTATTTCAACTACACTTCTTGCTTGGCACCAAACTGCCAGTGAACATCCTCATTAGCAGCTAAGGCCCCAGATACTGGATGATTTGTTGCCCCAAAGTGACCAAAAATCAGTTCATGCAGCTTTATTCTATTATACTGCATTCACAAACCTGAGCTCGTCTGATTCATGATACTGTATTAACACACTGACTCGCCTCTGTTTATAGTAAGAAAGATGAGGAGTACATAAAATCCAGTGGATATTACAAGGTTGCAGATGTATTACCTACGTTCATACTTTTAATTCTCTTTTCATTGACACCCCCAGCTCTTTTTACATTAGCTCACAAAATGCAGCAAAATAAGGAATAAATAACAAAAAAATCAGTCAGTTGGACTTTATATATGAAGTGCTCTATGGACACATTGGCAAAAGAATGACTGAAAACTAAAATAGGATGACACAGGCCTCAGACCTTTTCCTGGTTTATACACAAAGAGCTATTCAGATTTGTAGTCCATGGAGGGAATTTAAAACATTTACAGGAAGGCCAGAATCAAGTAGATAAATTAATGTCCCTAATGACTTAACAGCAGTGAGATCAGACTTGTTGACCTCTCTCTTCAGGGATCAGTGGCATACGTACCTCAACAGGCCTGGATACAGAATGCCACCCTGCGAGACAACATCCTGTTCGGGAACTCCTACAATGAGCAGAAGTACTGCAGCGTTCTGGAAGCCTGTGCCTTAACCCCAGACCTGGAGGTGCTGCCTGGAGGAGATATGACTGAGATAGGAGAGAAGGTACAAAAAACAAGCACTTTCAATTTCCTTTCCTTTACTCAATGAGCACTTTGTGTTTCTATTTCTAAGGACTGTCTTTGGTTCTGTTTTCCATCCAGCAAGTCTTGATGTCTGCAATCATAACATGATTCAATTCAGAGTTTTCTAGACATTCTTGCCCCTTATGATTAGGTTTATGTGGTACTGAAATGCACCTTAAAAATTCACATGGTAGACTGTCCAATAGCTACAGTGCTTAAAGCGATTCTGTCTCAAACCTGCAGGGTATCAACCTGTCTGGTGGGCAGAGACAGAGGGTGAGTCTTGCTCGAGCTCTGTACAGCAATGCTGATGTGTACCTGCTGGATGATCCGCTATCCGCTGTGGACGCCCACGTGGCCAAACACATATTTGACAACCTCATTGGTCCAGAGGGGCTGTTGAAGGGCAAGGTGAGGAAACACTAAACCCAACTTAAGAAAGGTTCACAAATCAAGCCCATGTTATTAACACTGCAGAGGTAAATGAATGACTGTGTATTGTTGGTGCAGTGTCGGTCTTGGATGCTGGATCCACCACTTTGGTCCAGAGTGAAATATCTCAGCAGTTATTGGACTGTCATAATACTTTGTACATCATTCATGGCTCCTACAGGATTAATCCGACTGACTATGGTGATCCCCTGACTTTCACTATAGATCCAAGATTATGTCCAAATTTTCACGCAGTCAAATGTCTTGTAATCTACCTGATGGATTGCCACAGAGTTTTATGAAAAAATTCATGCTTCTAAGATGATGTACTGTAATGACTCCCCTGACTTGTCATCAACAGGTCAGTTTAAATTTGTCTGGTACTTTGGTTTATGACGAAATACCTGCAAAATTAATGATATTCACATGAGCCTCAGATGTACTTTTTTGCAAATTAGCAGATGTTAGCATGCGAACAGGCTAAACAAAGGTGGATGATTGGAAACATTACACCTGCTAAACTTCAGTATATTAGCATTGTCATTGTGAGCATGTTAGCATGCTTTACTACAGCCTCACAGAGCTTGTAGCATTTTTGTTTGATAGAGGAAGTATTATCTTATCTTTTTACTAGAGAGGAAGTTGTATCTTTTATCACTTTATTAGTTGGTGGTATTTCATATCTGTGACATCATTTTACCAGAACCGCTGGCTGAGTTCCTGTCACTGCATTATTTTTGGAGAGTTCACACGGTCTATTATACCACTGTCTTTGAGTTTGCAATAAAAGTTCTGTTTATGTTTGTTTGAGGGTTTGCTTTGGTATTGGTTTTTGTGTGTTAGATCAGACAGTAATAGATATTTTTGTTGTTGTTGTTTTTTAACCCCAGACAAGAATTCTGGTGACACATGGAATCAGCTTCCTGCCTCAGGTGGATAACATAATGGTGATGGTGGATGGACAGGTGTCAGAGATGGGGTCCTACCAGGAGCTGCTCAAACAGAACGGAGCCTTTGCAGAGTTTCTCAGGAACTACTCTCTGGAGGACATTGTAGAGGAGGACGAGGCAACTGGTAGGGCACTGCTCCCTCCTCTTTTCAATCACCACATATGAGTGCAAAGCAGAGAGATGGTTGAGCTTGTTTGTGGGCAATATCCTATACTGTTTTTCTCAATGCTTTTACAGAAGAGCTAATTGAAGATGAAGAATTGTTCCCTGAGGATGCCCTTAGCAATCACACAGACATGGTGGAAAATGAACCAGTCATCAATGAAGCTAAGAGAAATTTCATAAGGTACTGGAAACATTAAACTGATAATTGTTTATATAACAAACCTTACAGGAAGTTAGCATGTAATTAGACTTTTTTATTCTTTGTTATGACACCTTCACTGTTCTGCCTTTGTCCCTTTGACAGGATTGTAGAAAATACTGCAACCGGGGCATTTCTGTTTAAATTATTATCAAGCAAAGTCTCAAAACCTATTCAGGCTTGACTCTGGTACAGCAGAGCAGTAACTGATAGGTTTTTTAAACACACTTAGATTAGAGAAAGCATATTCTCAAATATCCTTCTGATGGACATTTTGCACGTAACATGAAAGATTCAGTACTTCATTGCCATTTCCTTAGTAGACATAATAATACATATAGTTGTATAGATAAACTTCAGGACATACTTAAGACGTAAAACAAATAATAAAAGCATAAACTGACCATTGTCAAACTGCATAGTAACTGCATAATGAAGGGTAATTATATTTAAAAACACATTAGGAACCCTGCATGCACTGGGGTTGTGTTAGTGCCATAAAATTACAACCACCAAATACATTTTTTTTTCCTTACTGGGCTTTTACTTGCACAATTATTATCAAATGAAGTGCCACAGTGTACACTGACATTAGCTTAATGCCCCCCCCCCCCTTTTTTTTCTTACAGGCAGATCAGCATCCTTTCAGCAGATGGAGAGAACCCACGGTCCCGCTCAGTGAGGAGACACGGCTGCACCCAAAGGAAGCACTCCGAGCCACAAGAGAAGAAACCACAGGAGTTGCAGAAGCTCATCCAGGCAGAGACTTCGGAAACTGGCAGGGTCAGTCCAGCAAATCTCAGTTTTCAGTCTTTTCTCATTCAAATAGCTTTAAATGTTAATTTCTATTTTTACAGATTTAGAGATTCCCCTTTTTACCTTTAGGCCTATATTTTTATTTTATGGGTTCTAAGGATTTATTTTCTGGGTCCATCCTGTTTTAACAGTTATTCTCTAAGTACACATTCATTACTTTATCCATTTATCCATTTCAGGAGGCATTACAACTAATAAGATAAATAAAATAAAAACATTTCATTTCTCACTTAAGCATTTCAGATCATAGATGCATCATGCAGTAGAAAGTTCAAGTCACAGTTACTTTGGTGCACTTTTTTGATAATAATTCAGGGGAAAACACTACTGGTTCAGATTTCATGTAAATTTTATTTCAAATCAGCTCAGTATTAATATTATTTTATGGGAATATAAAATTAGAGAACACATTTGCCTATATAATAAAAATGATTGTAGTTTTGATATCTCTGTGACTGGGACTGCCTATGTTGACCTCCATTGAACTCTCCTTACAAGGTGAAAACAAAAGTGTACCTGGAGTATGCCAAGGCGGTGGGGCTGCTGCTCTCAGTGGTCATTTGTTGTCTGTATGGCTGCCAGAGTGCTGCAGCTATTGGCGGTAACATCTGGCTCAGCCAGTGGACCAACGATGCGTCAACGAATCAGACTAAGGAGAATGTTCATATGAGGGTGGGGGTGTACGCAGCACTGGGCATTGCACAAGGTGAGTGGCACAGTAAGCATTGAGTGAGACAGTAGATCATGTTATAGTTAAACCTCATACATTTTCTGCATCTGCTGTTGTATATAATCAATTTTTTAGAAATGACCTTTTGCACAAAGGTACAAACTGTGTTCTCAGCTTTAAAGGTGCTGCCACAACATGGTGCTGCATTTATTTTGAACCCGAACTCCTGCTTTTAACTCCATGGTGCCAAACACTGCTTCGAACCAAACAGCTTCTTGTTACTACATTCATTAAAATAAACTGAAAGTGTTTTCTATCCAGGTTTGATTTTTATAATCTCACTGCAGAGATGCTTTGGTACATACACCCAGAGGACCTGCAGTATTCTAGCAGTTAGTGTATATTGTTATTGTTTGGTGGTTCTGTGTGGAAGCATTGCATAATGTTTTGCTGCTCTTGCTTTTTCAGTGAACTGTAAGATCTTTACAATCAAGACAGACAGGGTTTCTGCTGGTCCTTAAAAAGTATTACATTTATACTGGTAAAACCTGCAGAAACCCTGCCAGATGTTGTCTGTGCCCACTGATAATCATCCCACTGATTTTTCATCCCACAATTAAAACCTTCCTCTCTGATTTCTTTGTTCTCTACTCCTGCTCCTCTGGTTCATCTCCATCATAGGTATCCTGGTCATGATCTCTTCCTTCACACTAGCAATGGGGAACATCAGCGCAGCCAGGAAGCTGCACTATAGCCTGCTGTCCAACAAACTCCACACGCCTCAGTCTTTCTTTGATACCACACCTATAGGACGCATCCTCAACCGCTTCTCCAAGGACATCTACGTGATAGACGAGGCTCTTCCAACCACTGTGCTCATGTTCCTGACCACCTTCTTCATCTCTCTCTCCACCATGATAGTTATCATTTCCAGCACACCCATCTTTGCTGTAGTTGTAGTGCCTCTGGCTTTCATATACGTCTTTGTCCAGGTACTGAGGAAAAAATGTTGCTCATATGCCAGATGATCCTCTCTGTTCCTCTTTTCTTTGCAAATGTGTGACTCTTCCTCTTCCTAGAATGACATGCCGCATGCTCGTTGGTGCAGCAGCTCCTTTAAACTTTCACTTTCAGCTTCTGTTTGTAGCCTGTGGTGTTGTCAGTGATGAGCATGTGCTCTCAGATTATCTCTATTTTCAATCCCAAATTCACTTTGCTCTCTCCCCCGCAGCTGAAACCATTCCTGTCTTGTCCACAGCCTGCTTCCACACGCACATATAGCCCATAAGTAATGTCACTCAGTCGATGGTGAGCCTTAACCTCCCTCTGGTGGTGGAAAAGTGTTAATACAACTGAATCTGCTCCATTTACTGGGGCTTTGTTGTGACATGTTGTAGGCCCGAGTGACTAACCTCAGGGTCTCTGGATTTGTTTTAGGGATTACACAAGTGATGTCTGTGGAGCTGGTTACGTCACCAGTGCGTAACGCGGAACCTTTGCTTGTGAGGAAAGTGGTGTTTGTTGTCATGGAAACATGGAGCAGATCTGAACTGAGTTCTGAGTTGTAATAATAAGACCAGTTGGCTGGTTAGATAAAAAGTTGCCTGTCTATGTAAACATCTGGGAATCCCTCTCATTTTACTCCTTTCATCAAAGGTACTGATAATATATAAAGAGCCTATTTGCAATGACTTGGTATCTTTATGTATCTGCGAGTAATTAGAAATCAATAATAATTACCTGGAAATGAACATATTTTTTAATTAGATTCAGGTGTAATACTAAATGCTTAAAACTACTCTGTCTCACACACAGGTTTCCTCAGGTTGGATTAGGGCTACTGGAATAGGTATTAGCCATTGTGACACCAGAATCTATGAAATGCAGTTTCATCTTTACCGTTAAAGAAATCAGTGTTTCTCCATTAACTTTCTTTTAAGGTATGACAGCCTGCAGACTAAATTTTCATTGTAATCCCTGGCCTCTTTTGAATTTACATAACAATGATCCACTGACTTCATTGATATGAGGTTCACTGATTTAAATTCTTCAAAAAAAAAGAACACTGGCCCTAGATCAGAATCAGAAGAGAAAACTTGGTACTGGTATGTTCCTAATTAGAACAAATGCATTAGATCAACTTTAAAGACAATATTAAGTAGCCATTAGCATAACATATTTATAGCTGTGTAATGCACAAGACGCAGCTGGTCTACAAAACTGATTTCCTTAAGTGGGAGATACAAAAAATAATATTCCTTTGGGGGCCACGTGAGGCTACAAGAGATGAGACAAACGATGATAGAAGTTTCCTTTCTGGCAATTTTTGTTGTTGAGCTTGTATGCAATAAGTGCTGCATCTTATGATTTCTGTTTGTGTGGAGCACACAGAGGAGCTATTAGACCTGATAGTTGAGTAGTAATAACACTATGGCAACATACACAAAAAAGAAAAGAGAGAAAAAGGGACACCACAAAAAATAAGCTGAACTGTTGATACTAAACAGCTGTGTCTTGTTTTGAGTCTCGTGAGGTGTTAAAACAGCCACAGTCATTAAACATTAGGAACAGATCCTAATCCATTAACATAGGTGTTGTTGTGTTGTCACACTTGACCTCCCCCCCCCACCCCTTCTCACAGGTGTGCTGTTGTTGGTTAACTGCCTGCTGTGCCGGGCCTACAGCATGCTGCGGGCAGCCAAGTTCATACACCGCTACCTGCTCCAGGGGGTCCTGCGAGCTCCGCAGGCCTTCTTTGAGAGCACCCCCACTGGGCGGTTACTAAACCGCTTCAGCAAAGACATGGATACTATTGACTCCCACATCCCAGAAAATATTGACATATGGATGCGCACTTTCTGGTACACACTGAATGTGCTGCTCATATGCTCTGTCCTCACCCCAATGTTCCTCATAGTCGTAGCCCCATTAATGGTGTTCTATTGGTGGGTTCAGGTAAATAGGACACAAGTCTGCTAACTCATTACCACAACATGTATGTGTGTTGACTGTGTGTGCTGCTAGAGTGCTGCATGTAGTTCAAACAATAATTGTTGTTCTGTGGTGTGCTCCGTTAGTCCAGTAGTCGTAGCCAGCTGCAGCCATCTTGCCTCAGTCTTTAGTTGGACACAGTGGGAGTTATAGCAAATAGAGGTTTTAATAATGAGCTCCAAATTTTCTTTCTACTAACTAAACGATATCTTCTTAGGAATTATTTATACTATCTTAATCTTGTAGATTAGATCTTTCTATTGTCTTTCCAGTCTTTTTCTAGCAACAGCTGCCAATCTGCAAAGATCTTAGATGTCACAAGTGATCACTTTCAGACTTATCAGATAGCTATTACAGTAATCACTTATGCCATGGGGGTTTAATGAGGTTATTAAACCTCAATGCAAAGATCTTAGATGTCACAAGTGATCACTTTCAGACTTATCAGATAGCTATTACAGTAATCACTTATGCCATGGGGGTTTAATGAGGTTATTCCTGCCACAGAAGCAGGTCTGTCTATCAGGGACGGTGGTGTCAGAGGTGGGTGGACTGTGGTGGCTGGAAAACAGCAGTTAGTAATGGTGCTGTGTGTAGTGTGCATCATCTCAGTATTGATTTATTTTACGGATACCCATAATAAGGTACATTGCAAATAAACACTTATTTTTAGTAAATTATTGCTAATGGTTTCTGGCTATTTTAAAGACAAGGCGTGGTTCTTGGTGTTGAGTTGTATTATGTTGAGGGTAAGAGCTTGTGAGTGAAGGTGGCCACATGTAAAGTTTGCATGAGTATTTTGATGGCTACTTTGATTCAGATTTAGGTATAGTGACCAAAACACCCCCCTGTAATTTGTCTCAGGGTGGCACAGTTTGGCATAGTTCTGCTATTAAAGGGGAATTCCAGCAAGTTTACACATGAGGTTTTAGCCTACTCATGAAAAATATGAATCAGCCTGTTAAAACAGAGGAATAGTGGCTGATGTGGGACTCTGGAGGGAGCTTTCCAGATAATGAGCAAAACTAACCCAGGTGATGTCATTAGGTTATTTCAGGTTGGGTTTGAGATTTAACATAATAAAGCCTGCATTACTAACTGAAGGTATGTGGTTTGAAAGGAGCTAGTGGTTTGGCACTTGACACATGCTAGGAAGTAAAAGTTAGCACATCTAGGTGTCTGCTGCCTTGCTTTTGACCATTCTTTTTGTATGTGTCCCTAAACTT